AATTAAAATTTGATTTTAATTAAATTCAACCGCCTTAAGTTTTGAAATTAGAGTTGGACTCTAATCTTGTTATTTAATTAAAATTTGATTTTAATTAAATAATCCCGCCCTATAATTGTGGAATTAGAGTTGGACTCTAGTTCGATATTTGATTAAAATATGATTTTAATTAAATATGCCCGCTAATTAAAATAATTGATTAATATGATTAATTAATTATTTAATTTTTTCGATCCATTTGTCTAAAATAGTTTAGACGATCTTAATTGCTAGAAATTTGAAACGTGTTTGCATATAATATTAAATATTATATAGGCATACGTTTATGTGATGAATGTATTATTAGTGGACGATTATGAATTCGACCATGCGGATGTATTGAATGTATTACAAGAGGACGATTATGGATTCGACCATGTGGATGTGTTAATCGTTAATTTTATTCTTGTCGTGTTTTGGGCTGGCGAGCCCGTTATTATTGTTATTATTATGGGCCTGCGAGCTCTTAATCATTTTGGGCTTGCGAGTCCAATTTCATTTAGGCCTGCATGCTAACTAATATAAGATATAGGTTGCAGCTGGACTAATTGAAGAAACAAGAAGAGGAGGAGACCATGCAGATGGTGCATTGATGCTGTTCAATGCTGTACCCCCTAGGAATTGACCAACTAGTCTTCCTTATGGCTCGGGAAGACTAGATAGTAAAAGTCCATAATCGTCCACACTATTATATTATATTATATATATATTTATTTGCATGGTAGATGTATAATAAAATATATATCATTGTTACGATGAGACCTTTAAATGTAAAATCCCTCCATAAAATATTAAGTCACATTTATAATCGCATTCCGTCATTATAGTGAAAAACCAGAGTCCCAAATCATCTCAGCTTGTTGAGTACACTCAAGCCTGGTCTATTAGAAATATATTTGAAACTATGAAATATTTGATATTTCTGAATGACGGGTTTGACTTAACTAAAATTTATCTTTTGTTGAGTACACTCAAGGAGATAAATTTTAGAAGCATATTAAGCTAACACATAAGATGTGTGGAGATAAAGAGTTGTCAGCTTAATGATCTGAGAGTTGTATGGAGATACAATTGATAATAGTATCTATCCAAATGTTATATTAAAGCTTGTTGAGTACACTCAAAGTCTTAATATAATAGATGGGATCCCAGCCCACTGGGAGTCAAGTATGGACTCCATAAATTTATGTAAGAGGGTCATAAATTTTAGTTAAACAGCGAAAGCATAATTAATTTAATAAAAGTCCATGTTAAATTAATTGATGCATTTTATATATTATTCTTTTTCTTTTCATCATTTACATTTATATTGAATCTTGGGTAATCATATGTTTTGAATGGCATGTTGGATGTCAACAACCAAATTGAATTTTCTTGATTGACATTGCAATCTGAGAATTGTTCTCAGGCATGAGAAAATTGATTATGTCCTTGAATAGTCCTTCCTAGAGACATCTGCTGATGACTCGATTAAGAAAGAGGTGGCTGCTATAATAAACGCAGTGATGACAATAGTACTCAACGTATGTTATACTTGCAACTATGTCACTTAAGTTACAGAAGCAATATGAGAGTATAAATGCTAACATGCTAACACATGATTTTTCATTTCAAAGAGTTGTATGATAATAATCATGTGTGAAAGAATATGAAACTTCCAAACAACTATACCGATACAAAGTGACAAAAGAATCTTCAGTCAATTCTCATGTACTGAAGATGATTGGCACGAAAAGTGTCTCAATTGAGTTCAATCATTAACTATGAACTAAGTATTGACTTAGCTCAGCAATCTCTATCATAGAGTTATTCATACTAATTATGAATTATGATATGAATAAGCTCGAATGCATACTCATTAAGTTGCTTAACATGCTTAGGACTGTTAAGCCCTTTATCAAAGTTGGTAGTGTGCAAACCATTGATTTCTCTAAGAATGTTAAGAGAAAATCTAAAGGGGCTTTGAGAATACATTCAATATGGTTAAGACAGTCTGAGCAAAGGGCAATACCAAATCTAGTGACACTTGTCTTCGTTATAGAATGAAAGGTCATTGGAAGAAATATTGTAAAGTTTACGCCTACTTCATTTGTTTCTTAGGTATTTGATACTAGATATGGAGAACTAAATGGAAGTAGACCACTACAAGAGGGAGAAGTTAACCTACACGTTGAAGATGAGCAAAGGTTGCAGCATTACCTGTAGGAGCATACTTCTTGTCGTTGCATTTTAGCTTAGTATTGGAATTAGAGAAATATTGCTTTGTACCACTATAACTAGAACATTAAATGAATTTCATGTTAGGACATGAACTATTTTAATGTTAAGGACAATTGTTGTTCTTGTTTATCTTGATAAAGATCCTAATGGTTATGGTAAATTACAAAACGACGTTTATATTCTTTAACACTAAGCATTCTATAATGAGTATAAAAGTTAAGAGGTATAAAAGTGATAATCTAATTATTAACTAAATATGGCATGGCAGACTTTGTCATATAGATGAAATGCAATTCCAAAGTTACATAAAGATGTATACTTAGGATTAATTGATTTTGACAAGTACAAATTATGCATGTCTGGCACAATGATCAAATCTTCTTTTACTTGAAAAGAAGAAATGTCGGCATAATTACTGGTCTAATGCATGCATATGGACTCATGTCAATTGATGTCAGATAATGTTTCTCTTATTTCATCAATGATCATGTATACTTGATGAAACTCAAACATGAAACTCTTGAAAAGTTCAAGGGATTCAAACCAGAAGTAGAGAAATAAATAAGTAAAGATACCCTCACATTAAGATTCGATCGAGTGAGAATATCTTAAAGATAAAATTTAGATTATCTAAGAGAGAATGAGATTCTCTTGCAGTGGAGTCCTCCATATATATTGCAGCATAGTGGTGTATCTAAAAGGAGGAATCGTTAACTATTAGATATAATGCGATTAATGACAAACCATGCAAATCTCCCAAAATTGTTTTGGGGTCATGCATTGATTGCAGTGTGCAACACACTAAATCATGTCACATCTAAATTGGTTAACAGAACTCCATACGAGTTATGGAAAGACAGTAGTCCCAATTTATCTCATATGAAAGTTTGGGGCCATGACGCTTATTTAAAGTGCCTTGAATCGGATAAGTTTGAAACTAAATCCGATAAATACATATTTGTGGGGATATTCAAAGCAGACATTTGAATATAAATTCTATTTTCATGAAGAAAGTCTTCGTCTCACGACATATCATCTTCTTGGAGAAAATATCTACTCTAAAGGAGGACAGTGGGAGGAAAATAGAACTTGAAAGAGTTCAAGAGTCCACAGATATAGTTAACTAAATAGATAAATTCAAGTTTGATCCCATATCTGATATGGGACATACTCTTGATCAGGAAGTAAAGACTCCTGAGAACACGTCAGCTCTATGTGAATCTAGTAGGATCTTCGACCTTCAAGAAGGTGCGAATCCATGATTACTAATCAGGTATTACTGATCCAGGATAATGAACCCGCTAGTTGTACCAAAATAAAGTCAAGTGTTAACTTAAAAGAGACATCAAAAGGCCATGAAACTCGATATGAACTTGGCGTATGTGAACAAGGTTTGGACCTTGGTCGAGCCTCCTGATGGAATAAAATCCATAAGTTTTTGTAAATAGTTTACAAGGAAAAGGTCGATATGGATGAGAATATCCATATATACAATGCAAGGCTAGAAGCAAAGGTTAAGTGTTGACCTTGGTGAAACATTTCTCCTGTAGCCTTGCTGAAGTCCATTCAGGTTTTGCTTGCAACAGTTGCATACCGTGACTATAGGTTAAGAGAAGTTTCTTGGAGCTGAAATCTTCGATTTGATGAAAAAGTCAAAGTGTTTGATTTTATCAAATTTGAAGACGAATTGTGTGTTTACAAGAAGATAGTGGAAGTATTGTCGTATTCCTAATATTATAGAAAATGACATCCCTATATTTCAATCGTTGAAATAATGGTTGTTAAGGATTTATTCATGAACGATATGAAAGAAGCAACTTGATCTATAGAGGTAGATCTAGAAAATTGCTTAACTCATCCCAATTTACATAGATGACATTTTGAGAAGATTTCATATGGAGAAACTAGTTTATTCTTAAGCGGAATGTTGAAAAGGTTTCAAACGGGAAGCAACCGTTAATTCAATAGTAGAAACCTAATACATCATTATTTCAGAAGTGGCAAAGAGT